TTTGCAAGTTTTGAAGAGTGACTGTTAATCTCTAAAATATAAGAATAACTGTTATGGTCTTCAATCTTTTCAAGATAATTTAGTGGGTATATTCTGCAAAGGCAAAAACTCAAAATCAATAACAAGAACACAACAGCCACCCTACTTCTTAGCTGGAAAGTAAAAGAGCCTTTGTATATTTGTCAATTAAACTTTCCCCATCACCTTCCTTATTTGTCCATATATAGCAATCACTGTGTTTGCTTTAAGTAAATCATACAAGCAGGACTTTATATCTCTCAGCCTATGGTGTTTTGGTCTTGGGAAGCTAATAAGTTTAGTATACTAAAACCCAAGGACACTTAACCTTAAATATCCCAAATCCTTAATCGATTGAAAAAGGGGGTGCACTCTCATTCATGGGCCTTTCCCTTTATATTTAAATCATTGTTTGAGTTATCATCTTTGGTTATTTACAAAAGCATACAATTCCACAACACCACATCAATAGTGTCAAAAACCTCTAATGAGAAGCTCCATTGCATTAGCTTGTTGTCAATGCAATGATAACAATGTATGGACACTATAGAAGTTTTTGATGCTATTGACAAAGCTCTCAGGATATGGTGTTCTAGAAAAAAATGCTCTTAGCCTATATAAATAATAATTGAGGTAAAGATGCAATTTAGATTTACCAAAGGTGCACTTGAGACCTGACAAGGTGACTTATATGAGTGTGTGCTCTAGCACTTAGGATGCTGGATTGAGTTAACATAATCATCAAGAAGCTTAACCAGTTTTTAATAAGATGTTTTCTTGAGATAGAGGCTGGTTGTGGAGGCCTGTATGTTACCCTCCTTAATAATTTATTGTAACTCTCCTTGAAATTTACTTATTTGGTTTATATTAATGATTATTATGTTAAACCAATAAAAATTTTAAAATGAGAAAATCACAATTATTAGATTAAAAAATATCCTAGAATATGCTTGAATATTCTACATATTTTCTGTACACTCCCTTAAAGCAAACCAAAAAGATATAGTGGAGTGCAAGTGTTCTTAAAACAACTAAGAAGATCTATTCTTGTTTTTCTTTTTCATCCAACAACTGCAATAGTCTAATTTTTGAGGGTCTCAAAAGTTAAAGGGCCTTTGTCATGATTCCTGATTTTAAATTAAGCTTGAACAAAGCACTTGTTAATCTTCTTAGATATAGTGGCCCAAAATAAGGAACCATATAAACTTAAAATGAGCTAAAGAATTTGCAACAAATTAAGTTGTTGAGGTTAGAACATAGTAGCACTGTTAAAAATCTATACTGAGATCTAGAAATGGCTGTTATGGCTAAAGTCTAGAAGTTCATTATAAAGTAAGTGAGCACCATCAAAGTTGACAAATCCAAACACAAGTTTATGATGTTGATGGGAGAAATTTGGATGCATTTAGATACTAAGATGAGAAAGGGGTTGCACTTTTTGCACAGTGAGAGGCTAGGTAGATTCTCAACTTGAGTACTTTAGGAACTATTAAACTCATGACTTCAATAAAGTTCCATCATTTCAAAGGTCACTTGTTAATGAGCTTTGTGTCTTATAAAATATTATAACAATAGAGAGTATAGCTTTCTTGGCATATCCACTAATAACCTTATCTTTTCCCACTTTAAATATATATATTTTATGGCTAATATATTTTTTTTCTAATTTTAATTAGTCTAATATTTTGTCTAAGATCTGTTGAATGGGGTGAAATTAATTCTCTTACTGAAAATAAAATGAGGTTTATTATAGAATATGGTTTTCAAAATTTTATTGAAAATTGAAGCATATGGAGATTATCCAATAGATTTTAAATAAGTTAGCTTATGTTGTTTTTTATAGAGGAGTAGTTGCAGTAAAATTTCAACATATACCATCAACATGTTCACATAAAAGTAATACTATTTTTGGTTCATTATTAAAAATTAGTTTTGGATGTAAACTAAATTTCTATAAGAATATTATGATTCAAACATGTTCAAAGTCATGTAAAATTATAGATGATAAATATAAAATTCAATATAATTTTCTTTTATGGTACAAGAACAATCAAATGACATCTATTACTAGTTTCTCTATGAATTATTTTTAACATTTTAAGTTATGTTCTTATTGATGGAAATTCTATAATATATACAGAAAATAAAAAAGGCATTATAGTCAATATAATACTATTGTTCAGATTTTTTTATTTTCACTTACAAAACAACTTTAATTTTGTAATATATATATATATATATATATATATATATATATATATATATATATATATATATATATATATATATATAAGTCAATTACACCACATGATGTTATATGTGATATAAAGAATGTCTTTTCTTATACTTTTGTATTCTTGTAGCAGATGTTAGAGTATTATTGATTGACTAATTGTGTCAGCCTAAAAGGTAGCAATTGAAGTCATGTGAACTAATGTCATGAGCTAGATCACGAGGCTAAATAAAAGCTATATCACA